TTGTGAAACTCTATTATTGATTGTTTATTCATCACTATTCCCCATGTCATTTTGACATTGGCCTAGATTCCTTCTTTGCTGTATTTCCTTAGCATCTGTGAATCATCCTTGCAAATAACAGGACTAAAAGTAAATATTAAACTAATGAAATCGTAACTAAAAATGTGAATTCAAACTCATACTTTTACTCCTTTTGTGATCTTGAATATCACACATAACTTTTTGCTTCATGTCCATCATCTTTATATAGAGAGTTTAAATAAAATATTTCTAATGCCTCTTTCAGACGCAAAAAATTCTGTTATCCTGTTGAGAAATAGTTGAACTCACCTTAAAACCTGAAGCAGTTATGTGATGACTTTACCTTGGCATGATTTATTTGAGTTTTATTAGTGTTTTAGGGAAATAGAAACATATATAAAGTGAAATGTCTAAACTTTTTAATTCATTTTTCACATTCCTCCTAAAGTGTTGTTACATATACCTGTGAGTGATGCAAAAGTGTATATTTACAAAAAACATTTTAAAAAGTCAAGTGAATACAACCGATTTTAAAAGCATTGTGTTTTAGTTGCATTTACTAAGCAGGAACAATATTCTAAATTTTATATAACACTTTTTCATATATGTACATACATAAATCAATATAGACAGAGAGATATATCACCCTGAACCAACTGGAACATACTTAGCCAGCAATGTAAATACACAAATGAATAAAATAGTCACCATTAATGTCCTCTTTTGAAAACTCTGTATTCTAGGAAATAAAACTCACTAATCGATTGCAACAAGGAGGGTGACACGTGTTCATAAACAGAGAATATATTTAATGTGAGAGTTGCAAGCAGTGGCAATATCTGGGGAACATGAAAAAAGGTCTGCCTTGTCTGAGGCTGATGATGAAAAAGGTGGGATCTGTTGCTGGGAACCTCTCTTAGCTGGTCGCCCCTTCTGATCAGCAAGCTGGCCCACTGCTATAGAGTTTTTCTTCAGAGCTGTTATGCTCACTTCCATGCAATCGCTAATGATATTTTCAGGTTTTATTGATGACAGTAAAGTAAAACAATAACTTCCATAGTTTTTTAAGGATAAAAATTCTAACTTTCCTTCTCCTTGCAAATAATGGTTTGAATCCTGTGGATGGGCTCCAGTCATGCCCTAGAAGCCTTGCTAGCATGAGGGAATGATAATGAAATGGGATAAGCACAATTATTAATCATTATTTTTTACTAAAAGAAGAAGAGTCAAGATTTTAAAGTCTGAGAGGTGGAGGTGATAAGTTAATAGGTAGGGATCAGAAAATATCGACTGGAAAAAAGCTAGAAATAATTGACAAATTAAATGCAGATCATTATAGCTCTTTAATCTGGTTTCTGTAAACAGAGGCTAAAGGCATGACTGGAACATTTACAGAGTATATAATGGTCAGAAAATGATGTATATGAGAAGAGCATATGTGTGATTTTTATATTTAAGTAACCTTTTTATGACAACAGAATACGTTTGAAATTACCTCTTCCTTATGACAGACACTTCAATCTCTGTAAATAGATATATTTCTTAGGAACGATGATAGATAATACTTCATGTTCATCTAAGCATGTACTTTGGAGTTATTTCCTCACACATCTATTTAGGTTATTTTAAATGTGTTTTCAATTAGTTAAAAGCAGTACAATGTGACTTAGTTGTATTGACATTGCAAGGTCCTTATTAGTAACAGAATTTCAAAACATCTCTTCTTATAAAAAAATTTTATGGTAGAATTTCAGTAGCTGAAGTAATTTCCTACCATTCTGAAAAAGTATTGTGGACATACCAATGTGATATATTTCTGCTACTTCCCTATTCCTTCTCCACATAATAAGCAGAGACTTATAAGTTCTGACGTATTCCTTTGCCACCGTTAGATGTACCCTCACACTCTGGCATTGGAGTAGCAACATAACTGCTATAGACTGTAACAGACATGGAGTGGTGAAGAGATTAATGTATAATTAAAATCCAAACAAATAAAAAGTGAGATAATTTATATGGAAAAATTCCAAATTGAAGTCAGAGCATGTTTAGTATTATTTCCTTCTAAAGGGAATTCAAATGCATCAAATGAAAAAGATAAATTTTATAGAAAGAAAGCAAACTAGGAAAATTTTGTAATAAAGCTAAGAACTAACCTAAAGCAGAGACAACCAATACTGGCTTTGTTTGAGTTCAAATCACTAGACTGTACAATAATTTGATTTTTAAGATACTGGAGGCACATGAGAATGGAAATAATAATAATCACATGCGTATTTATTAGTGTATACCTGTCAATATATGTGTATGTATTATGAATGGATGTGTACATTTTTTTTATCTATAGGAGTCACTGTTAAGCAAACTTGATCAGGGATTAGGAAGTAATATACGTTTTCTTAAATTTTTCCATATGCAAGAATATTAATTTTTACATAGTTACATGATAAAATCATTTTATTGCCAGACATGAACATATCTTTGCTTAAAAAGGTCATTTTTGAGGTCGTAAAGATCTTAAATTTGTTAGCATTCCTACATATTTATTGATGGCATCTCTCAGGGATTCCTTGACTTTCTCATTTCGGAGGCTGTAGATGAAAGGATTCAGCATGGGTGTTACAATTGTGTTCAGCACTGTGGCAAATTTGTTAACATCCATCACACTGACCTTTTATTGATGGACATAGATGAAGATGGAGCTTCCATAGTAAAGTGTAACTACAGTGATGTGTGAAACACAGGTGGAGAAAGCTTTCTGCCATCCCTGGACAGAGGGAATACTAATGATAGTAATGATAATGAATATGTAAGACACGCCAGTCAGAAGCAATGAGCCCAAGAGCAACACAGCTGAGGAGATAAAATCAGCCAGCTCAGCCAGAGAGATATCTGCACAGACTAGCTTTAGCACAGGGGCACTGTCACAGAAGAAGTGATTGATTACATTTGGCCCACAAAAGGGCAGAGGTGCAGTTAAAATTGATGATGCCAAAATTGACAAAAATGCACCCACATAAGATCCCAGAAGCAACAATATGCATATCTGTTTGTTCATGATGATGGCATATCTCAGTGAGTTGCAGATGGCAACATATCGATCAAATGACATGACAGCCAGGATGAAGAATTCTGTGGATCCCAGAAGAAAGTAGAAGAAAGACTGAGTAAGACATCCCACAAAAGATATTGCTTTTCTGAGGGAAAACATGTTGGCCAGCATCTTAGGCACTACAGTGGAGGTGATGGAAATCTCAAGGAAAGAGAGATTGGCTACAAAGAAATACATGGGTGAATGCAGACGGTAGTCACCGCACACCAAAAGGATGATCATGGTGTTGCCAATCAGAGATGTCATGTACATGAGCAGGAATGCATAAAAAAGAAAAATTTCTACTTCTTTCTCATTCTGAAACCCTAGAAGGATGAACTCAGTGACTTTGATCTTGTTTCTGTGATCCATACTGTTCCCACTTCCAGTGGCATAATAAAAAAGAGAAGTTTATCATTGGTCCCTGCATTTAAATTTGGAAGTACTCCACCTATAGCAATTAACTATCTTTGTTTTTAATAGAGGGGTGATAATGAAAAGAAAATATTACTTTCCCAGGATATGAACAGGTCCTGAGATGAACCGTGCAAGATGTAAGAGCTCAAGTGTGAGGTTCACTCATAATAGCTGAATCAGTTCTACAGAAAGACTGTACAAACTATTGTTTTGAAAGACCTGTGGGGCTCCCCTCAGTGTAGGGAGGCTAACAGTGAATTCAGCTGTTCACAAGTCATGTGAATGCATTCATAGTTCTCTTTGGGATAGACACATCACAGTGTCCTTAATCCATTCAGATGTACTGGTATTCATTCAGAGTTCTGGCAGACAGAGTTGCAATAAAGTTTAATTCTATATTAATATGCATGTACAAAATGCCTTTTAAAGACTTTTTATCATTTTCATTTTTAAAAAGTGTTAAAAAACAACTGGATATGATCGCATAATAGGCTCATCACCCTTGACTTACAGGTTCCAACATCTATATTGTTCAGTTGGCCACTAAAGGAAGTCAGCCTCATGTAATCTCCATACAGAATCACATTTCATAGTGAATGAGATGTTCACAGGTCTTTCAAGAGGAGGGAAAGGACAAAACATATGACTTTATCACTGTTGATGATATTTATCTTGAAATTCAGACAATAAAGAAAATACTCAGCAAAAGGGATACAAAACTGAACTTCTGAATTTTGACTACTTTTAAGAGAAGCAGAAAACGCCTACTTTGTACAGTTCATACAAGAAATCCAAGGCCAAAGTACAGAGAAAACAGGAACCTTGCTGGAGAAGTTTTGGGTTTTTTTTTTTTAATTTACTCGCTATGTAGATTTTGGAGTATGTATATTGTATTATAAAGTCTATCAATTAAAGGCAAAAATAAGGGTTTGGATCAGAAAGTTATTTCCAATCTCAAATTATGACACATAAAAATTTAATATACATAGGTGTTGGAAGGGGTAATTTTAGATAAGTGAGAATGTGTATTGCTACTTTTCAGTAGATGTGATGGTTGCGTGTGGCAGAGGCTAGCTAAAATTTACATCACAGAGGGTCAATACTGGAAGTAAGTAAAAACTTTGTATTTTTTAATTTATGTTTTGCTTTTTTTCCTCACCCAAAATATTTATTAGTTCATTCTTTCACTCTCTTTATTATTAAATGTTTGCTGCATAATGAGGAAGCAAGTAAGGGCACAGATAAATTTCAGAGTTATGCATATTATTTGCTTTATGGTATGAGTAAAAGAAATAATTTGGATCAGAGTTGGAGTTTTCACCGTGATTTCTTATAATGACCACTTTGAATGCAATAACAAAAATTCAATATTTTAGTTAATAGGAACTAAATTTCTCAATATAGCGACATGGTATGAAGACTGTGATCAGTTTACTTTCCTGTAATTATAGAAAGAAAAAGAAATATTGAAGGATTTGGTGAGAAAGGGAAAATAATGGTATGGTAAAGTGTATTATTTGAAAGAGCTTTTCCTGTGGTCCAATAAATAGTTGGTTTCAATATGAGCAATTGGTGGTGTCTTGAGGGCACTGGCAATGTAAGGCAAAAACTAAACACTCAAGTGAAGACATACCTTCAGTCAATTCCTGTTTCTGCATAAAGTTATCAATTAGTGAAAAGCGGAGGAGAAAGAACAGGAGAAAATCAGAGTGATGGGGAAAATAGAAAAAGAAAAAGAAATGAGAGCAAAGAACATCAGAACATCAATTAAAAGAGGAGATTATAAAGTTTTTACTTACCTGTTGAAGTGTACCTCAGACCTTTTATGAGTGCTCAAATGCATGGTTGCAGAATATTCTTTCTTTGTAACTACATGATTTAGGTACTGTCCATGGTTGGAATCACTTCTATAGATTTGTTCCTCCTTCTGACAGTCAGAATGCTAAGAAACGATGGGGTTGAGAATAGAAACATGACTGTTGGACAGTTTATAAGGATTTTGTGGGGAAATGAATGACTCAAAGCTATGAAGTTCCAGTGATCACATCTGCATATTATTGGAACAGGGAAACAGGAGGGGAGCCTGAGTTAATTATTGCTGCTTCCCTAGCGGCAGCACTTCCAGCAGAACAGTCTCCAGAGAATAATTTAGAGAAACAATTTTAATTAAAAGAAAAGTTAAAATATCTCAAATTAGAATTGAGAACTTGTAAGCTCAATTTCTTTTTTTAAAAATATTTTATTTATTTTTTATTTTCCTTCTCCCCGAAGCCCCCCAGTACATAGTTGTATATTTTGGTTGTGGGTCCTTCCAGTTGTGGCACGTGGGATGCCACCTCAGCAAAGCCTGGCCAGCAGTGCCATGTCTGCGCCCAGGATCCAAAACAGTGAACCCCTGGGCCGCCAAAGTGGAGTGCGCAAACTTAACCACTCAGCCATGGGGCTGGCCCCTAAGCTCAATTTCTATAATGAATATATTGAGCCTAAAAGAAAACACAGCAGCATCACTAGAGATCAATCCTTTAGTCAAAAATCAATCCTTTAATAGCATTATAATGTCATATATAGTCATCAGGTAATGAGATGTGTTTTCATCATCATCACCATCGTATTGTAATCATCCTCCTCAACAGTATCATCACTATCAACGTTTATTGAATACTCACTATATACTAGGTAATTTTCTAAAAGTTGTGCAGTTTTTTAACTATAAAAAACATCATATAGATTGTTTTGTTATTGATATCAAACTGATTATTCCTTATCGAACTTATTTATTATAACTACTTCACATAAGGAATCAAATATATTAAAATTTCAGAAACATATGAATTTATCTAATATAAAGCATTATTTTCAAAAATAAATTACTAACATTTATTGAACGTTTGATACATATTTTGATACACTAAGTTATACATATAATCCATGCCACCAGAGATATATAAATAATTCAAGAATGAAAAAAACACACAAAACAAATGTGTTGGGTGAATGTTCTCAAGAGAAAATTTCAGTAAACAAATTGCTTAGCTTACAAATCAGAGCCATATTACTTATGAAAACAGAAATTTTATATATGAATATTCCAATCAACAGACATCATCATTCAGACAGGCATATCCTTATTTATATAAAAAATCAGAATACATATTTTTCTTTGTTTTGGGCATTTAATACTTACTCTTCTCACCTAATCTGTTTTTTTCCCCTTTTGCCTTTAGGATCAATTACCAAATGTTGGTAACGCTTGTAATCTTTTTCCTGACTCTCCTTTTTCCTCTTTCTTGCCATGTTTTCTCTCTCCTTTCCCTTACTGTCCATATTGCAACTTTGTCAGACTCAGTTTATTTCTTTATGTAGACCAGGCTATTTTTCAAATTATTGTTGACACAAATAAAACTCTTTCTTCTTGGAATATTCTTACTATATCCTGCCACCTGCTTCAATTCAAAACCTGTGTATTCTTATAAAGGTATATTCCTATACTTTTTCCTTCTGTCTACATTACCAGCTTCTCAGCTATGGTAGATCAGCTTCTACATAAAACTATTGCATTTTTATTGTTTTTCTAATGTTTATAATATAATATTTCCTATAATTTGTATTATACTTTTATGCAGCTAATGAAAACATTCCATGAGAACACAGACCATGTTTATATTCCTCATGTTGTATCTCAAATATTAAGACCATTTTCTGACATTCCGTGTCAACTCAGAAACTATATTTTGAATTGATAAATGAACAAATGAATAACAAATACAGGAAACAAAACCACTGGGGAAAGAAATCTAGATCTATTCTGAAGATGTTGAGTTTTTGAAGCCTAGGGTTCAACAAAGTTATATTTTATTTATGCAGGTGAATGTATACAGTTGGAGTTAGGTCAGAGTAGAAGGATGAAAATTCATAAACACACACATGGCAATTGAAGTGTGGGTAGTGAGCAGATTAACAGTTCAATTCTGACACTATCTGCCTGGTGTTAGCTTCAAATCACAAATGTTAAGGGCTCAGTCACACAAGACTGCCCACCTCCTCTCAGATGCCAATCACAGCTAGTGCATCTCCTCAAGTTACTCACTTCTGTCCAAGTTTGTTACAAATTGGGGGTAATTGCAACACCCTCCTCAGGTTTCATGATTTGCCAGAATGGATCATGGAACTCAGGAAAAATGCTTTACTTACTATTACTGATTAATTACAAAGGATATTTCAAAGAATACAAATCAACAGCCAGATGAAAAGATCGATAGGACAAGATCTGGGCTGCAAGCCCAGTACAGTTTGTTCTTGTCCCCAGGGAGTTTGGGGTGTGCCACTCTCTAGCACGTGGACATGTTCTTTCTCACTGACCTGGAATTAGGTGGAATCTTTTCTTACAATATACATAAAAATTAGCTCAAAATGGCCTAAAGATCTAAACTTAAGCCCCAAAGCTATACAACTTCTAGAAGGAAACAGGAAGAAAGCTTCATCACTTTGGATTTATCAAAGATTTCTTGGATATGACACCAAAAGAACAGGGAACAAAAGCAAAAATAAACAAGTGAGACTACGTCAGACTGAAGTTCTTTAAAGAAAAAAAACGTGAAAAGGCGAACTACAGAATGGTAGAAAATACTTGAAAGACATATCTGATAAGGAAAAAATACCTAAAATATGTAAAGAAATCCTACAACTAAACAACTACAAAATAAAATTGTGTGATTAAAAAATGATCAAAGAAATAAAGTTAGGGGACTAACACTACTTGACTTCAAGACTTACTATAAAGCTGCATTAATCAAGACAGTGTGGTATTGGTGAAAGAATAGAGAAATAGGTCAATGAAAGAGACTAGAGAGTCCAGAAATAGGCTCACATAAATATAGTTAATTGACCTTTGACAAAGGAACAGAGGCAATAGAATGGAGCCAAGATTAACTTTTCAACAAACGGTAGTGTAACAACTGGATGTCTACTTTCAAAAACAAAGTAAATAAGTAAATCCAGACACAGACATTACACTCTTCACAAAAGTTAACTTAAAATGCATCATAGACCTAAATGCAATATGGAAAACTTTAAAAATCCTAGAAGATAATATAAGAGAAAACCTAGATGACCTTGAGTATTGCAGTGACATTTTAGATCCAACAACAAAGGTATGATGCCTGAAAGAAATAATTGGTAAATTGGACTTCATTAAAATTTCTATAATTTTTATTTCCTTTTCCTTCCTGATTTCAGAAATTTTTGGCCATTATTTTTTTTCAGATATGCTCTCTGACCCTTTCCTTCTCTCTTCTCCTTCTGGGACTCCCATAATGCAAATATTGGTCTATTTGATAATATCCCATAAGTCCCTTAGCCTCCCACTTTTCTTCTTCTTTTTTTTCTTTTTGCTCCTGATGATTTCAAATGACCGATTTGCATGGGAATTTTTCAGCTCAGTTACTGTATTTTTCAGCCTCAGAATTTGTTTGGTTCTTTTTTACATTTTCTATCTGTTAGTATTCTCATTTACCTCGTGCAATGTCTTCCTGATTTGTTTCATTGTCTATCTGTATTCTCTTTTATTTCGTTGAGCATTCTTATGATAGTTATTTTAAATTCTTTGCAAGGCAGATAATTGATCTGCTTTTCTATAGGTTTGATGTCTGTAGTTTTGTTTTGCTCCTTTACACATGCCTTGTTTTCCTGTTCCTTTTATGCTCTGTGGTCCTTTTATGAGATTTGGGCATTTGAAAAAACAATCACCACTTCCTTTTTCATACATTGGCTTTACGAATTTGAAGACCTTCACTGCTCATCCCAGCAAGAGGTTCTAAGACCTCAGAAACTTTCTCTGATCTTTTGTTGCCCCTGGTGTCTGCCTGCAGAACTGCACCCGTAAAGTGCTATGGTATCTGTCTCTGTTTTCACTGGCTGCTAAATAAACACTGCCACAGGGCCCATCAGCACTCTGAGCAGGGTTAGACATAGACTAGTCCATTGGGCTGTCACCAGACATGCAGAACATTGAACATACAGTCTCCTCTTTGTTTCAATCCCACGGGAAGAGCCCTGGTATGGAAGGCTCCTCTTAGCTGAAATGCTCTAAAAGGATAGGGTTGTATCATAAGTGAGCATGCGAATGCTCTGAATTTTCCTGCCCCTTTTCCTTGAATCCCTTCATGGTTTTACCATGGCCTGTGTGCTGTAGCTTTTCAACTGGTGTCTCAAGTTCTCAAAGTTATTCTGGTCCCTATTTGGTGTCATGGTGCTGTCTTTGTGGGGAACGGAGCTTCTTAGTCTTCCATCTTGCTGATGTCTCTCTATATTTCAAGTTTAAATTTACCTTAAATTTTCTTTCTTCTTTTGTCCCACAAATTCTCCTTTATTGTGTTCTATTATATATAGTTCCCTCCAAGATAAGACAAATTACTGAATTTTCAAATAACACTTACAAAACTTAGAGATCTCACTTAGTATCAAGTTTATGTATAATTTCAAACATAAACAACAATTAAATGTAGCTAATGAAGTCTAAGCTCTCCAATGTAGTTTTGCAGATAGTTACTATCCATATCAGGACGTCCTTTCAACCCAATTTAGCATATGATGTCTATATATGATATGTGCAGTGTGCAATCACAGCTCTTATATTGAATCTAATGTTTTAGTTAAAAAAGTATATGTCTTGTATAGACATATTGTTGATTAACTTACATGACATTTTCCAGGGAGCCATAGCCCATAAATACATAGATTCAAGTGTTTCAACCATTATATACTATAAGAAATCCTAGGCAGTTAGGTAACATCCTGCCAAAAGTATTCCACAGATAAAGACTTCCATGCTAGCAAATACTATGTTTCTATTTTTTCAAAAGATCCACTATTAGTATGATCGTGACATTAGAGAAGTTGCTTTTTCTGTTTATCATGGTTTTTATTAGGAATAGATTTTAAATT